AAAGACAAGCAGTCTAATAAATATATAAATATTCTAAAATACAAGCTATAATGTAAGCTGATGGTCTGTAATTTCTTAATAAAATTTTATTTTAAGTTCTCTTGGGTGTGGTCCCTGGATCGTATTAGGAGCAGTAAAATAGAAGTTCACGGTTCAGCTCACAATTGTTAATAATGATTAGATCCACTCTGGGAAGATACAATGTTACAGCAAAATCCTAGAAAAAAAATCCTAGTTTATCCAGGCTGTGAATTTTAAAATTATAAATAATTGAAACATTACTTACCTAAGTGTATTGCCATAACAGTCACATTTCTGCATGCATGCAGGTTTTGTATGAGCCCTTTTTAACACATACAGACATGCACTATCAAGTGGTGCATAAGAATTACCAAGAAAAGCTTATATGCCACAATTACCAAGTGCTACTGAAACTAGAAGGATCAATACTACATGTACAGTAGAGTCAGTCGAGAACACTTGCCAGGTTTGTCTATGACAAAAGTTTTGAAATACCAGTTTACTCTGTGATTATCAAGCGCAAGATCAAGCACCATGTTAGACCATGTGATTGAGAGCCTAGTAGAATACCAGCTGAGCAAAGAAACTAAGTTGTCTTCTGGGAAAAAGCAGAAAGCTAGTTGGAAAGTATATACTTCCCTCTACTTGATGCATGATAAGTCATAAACACCACAGACTGATGAATATAAACCAAGTAGGGCATTTTTATCAATTACTGAATGGCAATGCAAGGGTGGTTCTGCATGGTGTGATAGTGATAGTACAAATAAGAATAGTGATAGTGCAAAAAATCTTTCAATAGCCTTATATTTAGCAACTTGCTGTAAATGTAATACTTACAAAAGCCTGAGTCGTGTAAACTGCTACAGGTTTAATCTAAGTGGTGATACTGAAGCAAATCCTGCCCAGTCTTTGTTGAGCTTTGTAAAACTATCCATTATTGTAAAAAAACACTTAAATATGCAAGAATATTAATATTATTTTTTAACCCTTTGCTTCCCGGGTTTTCCCCCCTGATTTTCCCCCCTAAGGACCCTGCTGCGAAAACAGCCAAATAACATGTATACAATGAAAGCTACACCAACATATTATATATCATCTGAAAGCCCATAACATTCTCTACAAGGTAGTACATACAATATGGTCCTCAAAAGTACCAGTGAGTCACATAATCTATTTGAATTTTCGTCAATTTTTTTTCAACCATAAAATTACAAAGTTTCAGCTGCTGTAAAATGTACTATATTAAAGATATAGATTTGTAATGTCTTTTGTTGGAAACATAATATATTTAGGATCATTTTGATACCAATTTTATGGTGCAATTTTATGGTTACAACAGTTCAAATAATGTAAAAAATCGGTATGCCATTGAATGTTAAAAAATTATTAGAAATTCAAAAGTTACAAACAAGACCATTATTAGTAACAAAACATCATTTCATTTAAGTCTAAACTGTTTTAAAGACTTTTTTGACAGAAAAGGTCAAAAACTGTAAAGAAATTATGCTATGTTATGAAATTATGCTTTCGTTAGTATTTTCAGTCGATTTTGCAGAACTTTTACCAGTGATGCTTTCCCGTCTCTTATTATAATATGTCTTGCATTCCTTTTCCGATCATAGTGATGTGAAAGTAGATAAAACAAAGAAAGTAGTCTCGATAAACAGTATTTTCAACCAAAATAATACTGAAATATTATCTTGTAATTATAATACAAATTGGTTTTCAATGCATGAAAAATTGCTACATCTGTGATACATAATGTGGTCATTCACATCACCAATTTTGTGCCAGGAATGCCAGATGAATGTTGAATAATGTAAATATAACATTATAATTCATATGTGGTCAAAGTAGAATTACAATCTATAAAAGAGATCTAATATCTAATATCTAAATACCTATAAAGTGGCATTATCCTATAATAAAACATCCTATGTTGTATTTCTGGCCGCCATTTTGAAAACGCGATGAATAAATCGTCAAGAAAATAATGCGAAAGTCAAACCTTTGCAGTTATTCCGGTAAAATTTGTCAGCAGGGGCATTGATAAATAATATAGGATTGTCAACAGACCACATTGCTTGTTTTACATGAAGTAATCAGGAAAGATCGGCATGGGGATATGATGGAATCCATCCCCCATGGGAAGCAAAGGGTTAAAATGGTTCTAATTGTGTTCTTCTAATTTAATTTCCAGAGGTACAACTTACTGCACTTTAGAACAATATATTAATACTTGCATATTTAAGTTTGCTTTTTTTAAGACACCCTGTAGTTCATGTTAACTAATTACAGTTGCATAGCAACAGCAAGGTTTTAAATCCAGTAGTGTTCATTTTACTATGGCCGAGATTTCCCCCCCCCCTTGCAGGTCTGCTAACCTGATCACTGTCTTGTACCCAGTCACTTTGCTGGCAGTCCTGGCCAGTAACCACAAACCAACATGTCCTCACCGTTAAATTAACGATAATCTTCTGCACGAATATTCCTAATATTGATCTCGAAAAGATTGAAGATGAACGAGATTTAGGTGTATGGACTACAAACAAATTAACATGGAATAAACAAGTCTCAGAACAAACTGGCAAGGCCAATAAACTTCTAGGATATATTAAGCAAAACACCATTTATATCAAAAGGCGCATCAATCAGGCATACGTTCTATCTAGGATTGATCCGACCTGATTTAGGTCATGCCACCCAGGTGTGGGCCCCGCAATCCGTCCAATTGATTGGTAAATTAGAGCGTATACAAAGGCGTGGAACGAGATATATTCTTAGCATCCCATATAGTCCTAATGTAGATTATACTCTTCGATTGAAAAAATTGAATCTTATTCCTATTACCTACTGGCATAAACTGCAGGATATGATACTTTTCTTCAAGATCATTCACTGACTATTCATTATAGATCATACCGTAAAACCCACGGCCAGAATCTCTAGGTTGACCAGATCATCAGCGAGCAATGTGATAAAGTTTGTAGTGCCAAAATGCAAAACAACCACATATCAGCGTTCTTAATTTGTACGAACATGTAGAGTATGGAACGTTTCGGCAGATGAACTTTGTTTGAGTACTAACAATCTGACATTTTTTAAAACAATCATGCTTAATTATTACAAAGCATCATTGTCAAATTATCAACTCGATGACCCACACTCTTTCAAAACGGTTTGCATCAAGTGTAATCGAGGACGTTCACTGAACAAACCAATTTCTTGTTGCATTTAACTGTAGAACAGTTTTTTTGGCAACCGCTGTTGTGGTGACCCTGCCATTTTATTTACTAGGGTAATTTAGTAGTTATTTGTATATGTAATGTACATCTTTTTCAGTGGCAAATTTAATAAAATCAAAATCAATACCAGAATAAAAGTGAAATCTATAAGGTCGGTCAATATTGAAACGTTTTGAAGTTGTGTTGAGTGTTCTGCTAAATTTCCTCCTGCAATTCAAATAAAGATCCTTAAGTGTCTCTGTTGTGGTGATAGAATGTGTTTTCAAGATTGTAAAGTGATGGTCATCGCTAAAATAACAATTGTTGATGAGAACGATTCAACACTCAGTCTTACTATATTTCCGGAAGTAATTACAAACTTTCTAAATGTGGATACAACCGTTTTATCAGCCGATGAGATTGCTGAAAAACTTTTATTAGTGGAAAACCTAAAAATTTCATTCAATCAGGATATTGTTACCAAAATTGAACATCAGTGCCAGTGACATTACCGCAATGACCTATATATTTGACTATAAACAATTTGTCAGGTGATAAACATTCATCATGTTGAGTTTCGTTTCAACCGTTTTATCAGCCGATGAGATTGCTGAAAAACATTTACTTATAAGAAACCTAAATATTATATTGCTACTAAAATCATTATAGTGACCTGTATTTTTAGTAAGCTGACCTTCATTCATGTTGAGTTCTGTTCTGTTTCATACATAGTATAGATAAAGGGTATTATTAATATTATTGTAAATGTGTTACTGTTAGACCATAGCAGCCCAACAAATACTGTTCTCCTTCAATAAATAAGCAATGTCAACGCCACGTTTTCTAGGCAAAATTTGAGCTGCACATGCATTCAGGCACGCAACATTTAAGCAAGGTCAACTCTACATTTCCATGGCGCCAAATTAATTTAAATACAGTCATTTCTAATTTTAGAAACACTTGTAGATTTATTATTGTTGACGTTGTTTAATTATTCCCCTTCAAACGTAGTGAATGTTGTGTTCCAGGCATTAATAAATAAATCAATTTTGAGATACTTGCATGTCCCTATTAACCTGTCATATTATTAACGACAAAGCCTATGAAACACTAGCCTATAGTCTGACTATGGCTATGTAACAGGGTGATGAAACAGTCTTGAAAAAAATCTTGAGTGAGATTATATGGTATCATTTCACCTAGTACTTAATTTAACTTTTTCGTTCCTTGTAGAAAATCTAATGTCTTAAAATTTGGTATCAGTGCGATCATGGGCCATGTCCCAATGTGTCATGGGCCATGCCCAAGTCTTATACCTATAACGGGCCATGCCCCAATGATGGACCATGTTCCAATGATGGGCCTTGTCCCAATTACTGGTCTTATCCCAATAAATGTGAGACAAATAATCATTGGCCACTGTCGGAGACTTGCAATTATTAGGATAGAATTACACTAGGAATATATAACCAAACGAATATAGCATATATATAAAAATATATAACAGAAAATATTTTAGTATAGAGTTAGTTAAAACCACCGAATACGTGCATGGTATAAACATAAATGCAGCGTAATAATCTAGAGCTTTCAAACCGCGGCGTAAGCATAGACTTACGTCACTTTAACAACCACAACATTTGGGCGCAGCGATAGCAGAACATGAACTTCACGATGTTCTAACAAGAACGTGATTGTGCGAATTCAACTGGATATTAAACCATGACAAATAGACCTTAATCAACGCGAGAAATGGATGCAAAGCTGAACGAGTTAACTGCGAAATTAAAGGCACTCAACCTGACAGTAACCAAGGTTGACGACGCCGTGACAAAGCGCGAAAAGGAATCCTTGAAACGAATCGAAGCATCACTAACGAAGAAAATTAACGGCATTTATGACCTAAAGGAGGAAATCGAAGAAATGAAATTCCTAAACCAGGAGAGCGACGATGATGTGGAAACTTGGGCTACCGAAACGGAGAATAAATTGAACGATGCTAAAGGGAAAATTGAACAGCTAAAGCAAGTGTTATCTGACATCGAGAACAACGAGACAATTATTGAACGAGAAAGGGACGAAGCGATAAGGCGCGAAGTCATCAGAGCGGAGACGGAAAAACAAGTAGCGATCGAGAAAGCGAGAATCGAACTAGAACGTATACATAAGGAAGAAGAGCGTAAACGAGATTTAGAACACCAGGACTTCATTTTGCAACAACAAAAGAAATTCGGAAAGGCGCGGGAATCAGACGTGGAGAGCACCAAGGAGCTTCAGGTCAAAAACGTGAAACTACCCAAATTGTCGATCACTAAATTCAGTGGGAAGTTATCGGAATGGCTATCATTCTGGAACACCTTCGAAGTCGAGATAGATTCAACCGAGCTGCCGACTGTGTCGAAGTTTGCCTATCTGAGAGAACTACTGCAACCTAACGTAAGATCGGAAGTCGAGGGTTTACCTTTCAGTTCCGAAGGATACGAACGAGCGAAGAACATTCTCAAGAATGAATACGGGAAGACAAGCGAGATTGTAAACGCCTACATCCAAGAGATTATAAACTTACCGGTGATAAACGGGTCGAGTCCAGCAAAAGTTAATGACTTTTATAAGACCTTATCCCATAACGTACAGTCCTTGCAAACATTGGGAAAAATCGAGAGGGTGAACGGGAACACTCGTGTCGTATTAGAGAAACTGAAAGGCATTAAAGCGGATTTAGTTCGCGGAGAAGAAGGATGGCAAGATTGGGACCTGCCACGCTTGGTCATAGCCTTGAAAAAGTGGAGAGATATCAACCCGGTCGTGAACACGAACAGTAATGACGACAAGTCCCCACCAAAACAAACTATGCGGCGATCAAACTTCTACCATGCTAAAGACGGTGAGCGAAAACAGCGTTCCTGCGTGTATTGTGGCGACAAAACCCACTCGTCGAAAGACTGCACAAAGTTAGCCTCCGTGACCGAACGAAAGAAATTCCTGGCCGAATGTAAACTTTGCTTTAACTGCACTGGTGCGAAACATCGTGCATCAGAATGTAGAAGTACCATGACGTGCCAGAACTGTCAGGAAAAGCATCACACATCTATCTGTGGGAAAACCACCACCACCGAGGGAGAGAAATTAATGACCGCCGCGGAGAACCATGTCCCAATGGTATATCCAGTGGTAGTTGTGAATGTTGGAGGAACGAAATGTCGTGCGCTGCTCGATACCGGGGCAGGAAGTTCTTACGCTTCTGCTACGCTGTTGAACCGCTTGAAAACCCGTAACCATCGACGAGAGACGCGTCGGATAGAAATGATGCTGGGAGTCGTGACCCGTAATATGGAGTTGTCCACCATCAACGTGCAATCGCTGGACAGTCAATTTGACATGGACGTGAGTGTAACCAAAGTAGATAAACCCGAATTGCTACATGTCGACAATCCCAACTACGACCAGCTGATTACCAACTACCCCCACCTTCATGGCGTCACCATGAACGATAACGATCAAAAGCCCAAACTACCAATCCACCTGATTATCGGAGCAAGCGACTATATCTCCATCAAAACTGACCAACCAGCCCGTGTAGGAAAGACGGGGGAGCCCATAGCAGAACTGACGAAATTCGGGTGGACAATAATCGCGAAGGGTAACGAGATTGACTATGCCGCCTTGCTGATCACACAAACAAACCAAAGTGACTATGAACAACTTTGCCGTTTGGATGTTCTCGGGTTGGAAGATCGACCAGAACACGACCAAAGGAGCGTCTACGCAGAATTCCGAGAACAACTCGTGCGCAGTGAAGAAGGCTGGTATGAGACTGGACTACCATGGAAAGGCAACCACCCTACCCTTCCAAACAACAAGACTGGGAGTTTGCGACGCCTTTCCAACCTGACACAAAAACTAAATCGAACTGAACTCCTTGAAGCTTATGATGCGATAATCAGTGACCAAAAGACAGAAGGAATTGTTGAGAACGCATGTGAACCTCCTATCGGAAATGAGTTCTACATACCCCACAAACCAGTGATACGGGAATCAGCGGAGTCAACCAAGTTGAGAGTTGTCTACGATGCATCAGCGAGAGCCTACGCAGACGCGCCAAGCCTGAACGACTGTCTCAACGCTGGTCCACCTCTTCAAAACCGTCTGTGGGACGTGCTAGTCCGAATGCGCTTTCATCCTGTAGCGGTGACGGGAGACCTGAAGAAAGCCTTCCTGCAAGTCAGAATCAAGGAAGCAGACAGAGACGCATTACGGTTCCACTGGAAACCACGCGAGCAGAGTGAACTGCAAACATTAAGATTTACGCGAGCGTTGTTTGGCCTTACCTGCTCTCCATTCCTGCTCGGCGGAGTCGTCGAACAACACCTTAACGCCTGGGAGGAGCGAATGCCAGAAGAGGTGAGCGAGTTACGGAAGAGTATGTACGTAGACGACTTCATCAGCGGGAGAACAACAGTCGAAGAAGCCAAGCAACTGAAAAGAAACGCGACAGAGATATTCAATGATGCGACATTTACGTTACATAAGTGGCATTCAAATGAGCCAGAGCTGGAAGATTCGCCTGACAAATCAGCGGACGAAGTGACTTACGCCAAGCAACAACTAGGAACAACCAAAGGAGGAGAATGTAGTCTACTGGGGCTTCCCTGGCACAAGTCTTCTGATACCATCAGCGTAGTCATTCCTTGCGAGCCAACGAAGCCAACGAAGCGAGGAACTTTACAAAAACTTGCAAGAATATACGATCCGTTAGGACTGGTATCACCTCATACCCTGCAAGGGAAGCTTATCTACCGAGAAGTATGCAAAAGAAGGTCGGATGGGACGTGGAGATCGATAGCGAAGCCAAGAAAAATCTGGCACGCTGGGAACGAAGTCTGCCGAACCAAGTCACAACCGAGAGATCACTGGTAAAATTCCGCGAAAATATTGAGTCAATAGAGCTGCATGCGTTCGGAGATGCAAGTGGTGATGGTGTATCGAGCGCAGTGTACGCAGTTGTCCATCAGCCATCCGGCGTTAGCCAAGGACTCGTGGCAGCAAAGTCGAGACTAGCGAAACAAGGCTTAACGATTCCGCGCCTGGAGCTGGTGTCTGCTCACATGGCTGCTAACCTTATCAGCAACGTAAGAAACGCCTTAGATGGATTTCCGATCACGGTTGTCCAGTGCACGTGTTGGCTTGACAGCACAGTTGCGCTACACTGGATCAACGGCGGGGAGAATACAAACAATTTGTTGCCAACGAATCCAGAAAATTAAGTCGAACAGCGGTATCCAATGGCGTCATGTACCAACCGACCAAAACCCAGCTGACCTGGGAAGTAGAGGGGGTTCTGTAGTGAACAAACAATTGTGGTGGAACGGTCCAGCATGGCTCAGCACTCCAGAGAGTTGGCCCGCAGACATAACCACTACCCCGTCCAAGGAAAGCAACGCCGAAGCGAAGATGGTTAAACAGGTACTGGCAGTATCGTTGGAGAGCATCAACGAGCTAGACGAGATGCTTATGAAATACAACTTGTGGAAAATGTTGAGAATCTGTGCATGGGTAGCAAGATTTGCTTTCAACTGCCGTCAACCCAGACAAAAGCTAAAAGGACCATTAACGACAGACGAGATCGAGAAGCAGAAATTATTCTGGATCAAACGTGCCCAAACCAGCGCAACGTACGAAGAGGAACGATCGGCATTGAATCTGAAGCCAAACGAACTCGGAGTTTTGGTATGCCGAGGAAGAATCCAAGGAAATTATCCCATATTCCTACCAGACACACATCCCTTCACAGCAAAGTTGGTGGATCAAGCTCATATACGCACTCTGCATGGAGGAGTAGGAATGACGATGGCTTACATTCGTGAGAAGTACTGGATCCCGAGGCTTCGCAGACTCGCTTGGAAAGCGATCAAGAAATGCTACGGTTGCCGCAGATTCCACGCAAAAGCCCTAGAGCAACCTGTACCTGGTCTGCTCCCACGTAATCGAACGGAAGGCAGTCGCCCATTCCAAACCATAGGAGTAGACTTCGCGGGACCACTAAGGTACAAGAAAGGAAACAAGACCGAAGGGAAAGCGTACATCGTGCTGTACGCTTGCAATTTGACAAGGGCGATCTACGTCGAGTTATTGGCCAGCCTATCGACCGAAGAGTTCATAAGAAGTCTGAAAGGATTCATCGCCAGGAAAGGGAGACCAGAAAAAATCTATTCAGACAACGGCAAAACCTTTGTCGCGGCAGCAAAGTGGTTGAACGTGGTGCAAAGGGACGAAAAGCTCCAAAACTTTTTGGCTATCAAAGAGATACGTTGGCAGTTCAACCTTAGTCGAGCGCCGTGGTGGGGTGGCCAGTTTGAGCGCTTGATCGGGCTTGTCAAACGAGCATTACAGAAAACAATTGGCGGTGGATGTTTGCGATGGAACGAAATGCAGGAAGTACTTCTAGATGTAGAAGTCGCTGTAAACAGTCGACCACTGAGCTACGTCGAGGAAGACCATCAAATGCCAACTCTGACGCCAAACGCTATGATGTTCGTCGGCTCTAATACCTTGCCAGAGTTAGAGGCCCATCATCTCGAAAAACCTGACCTACGGAAAAGGGCAAGATTTTTATCGAGATGCAAAGATGCTGTTTGGCGACGATGGACATCAGAATACCTACGGGCGTTACGGGAAAGACATAACCAGGCTCAAGGGACTAAAACGTTGAACCTGAAGATCGGGGATGTGGTGATCATCAAATCGAACGAGAAGAATCGAGCGAAGTGGAAATTAGGAATTGTTGACGAGCTTTTCAAGGGACGCGACGATGTGGTGAGGGCAGTAAAACTTCGGGCTGGGAACAATTTCCTAGAAAGACCACCTACACATCTGTACCCCTTGGAACTATCGTGCGACCGAAAAGCGAAGGTAACTAAACAATCACTGAACGCAGATGCTGCAACATTCAGACCCAAGAGAGACGCTGCAGTGGCAGCGAGACAACGCATCCAAGATGTCATAAACTCTCAGAGTTATGCATGGTGGACATCCGTTAGTGAACCATAAAATCATATGGACAGTAGTCTCCTTTAATACATATATCTCGACTAGCGAGCTATATGGGGGGAGGGTGTCGGAGACTTGCAATTATTAGGATAGAATTACACTAGGAATATATAACCAAACGAATATAGCATATATATAAAAATATATAACAGAAAATATTTTAGTATAGAGTTAGTTAAAACCACCGAATACGTGCATGGTATAAACATAAATGCAGCGTAATAATCTAGAGCTTTCAAACCGTGGCGTAAGCATAAACTTACGTCACTTTAACAACCACAACATTTGGGCGCAGCGATAGCAGAACATGAACTTCACGATGAATTAACATAATTTGCGCGCGGATATTCGTCATGTAACCGCAATGACTTCTCACTAATTTACTATAAATATAGCCAGTGTATGTTAGAGCTGTATGAACAATGAACACTGAACAGAACAGAACTGAGCTGCGAGAACCGTGAACCGAGAACCAAGAAGCTAATATCAACTTGAAGTGTAACACGATACGAAGTTATCTATCTAATGTCAACGTGACCTGTGAACCTTTTATTAAATCTTTTAAACTCAACGTGATTTGTGAGTTGTTGGGCGAGACAAAGAGGGAGGCAATTCCCCAACACCACCGCCTGACCATGTTTTAAAGGAACAAAGTGATTCATATTTTATTAGGAATAGAGTTCATAGTTTAGGACCAAAGTTACCTGCTTATTCAGAACAAATGTTTTCTGATAATTTAAATTCACCTTCATTGGATAGCAGAGAATCTCATCAAAAATGCACCGTTTTACTTACGCCTTTAGTTATGAACGACAAAAGTTTATGAAACAAGATATGTCGTCTATGCCACAAGTGCCAAAGATCATTAACAAGAGTAATTTCCCCTACAATGTTCAAATAAAGAATAAAGTCTTGCACACAGTGTATTTGCGTTGGGGTAAAACACAAAAAATGCTAAAACGTCATTACGCAACTAAGCCACCAACATGCAAGTTAAACAATACTTTTCATAACACATGGAATTACAAGATTTTACACCACATGATCAGCTCTTGTAAGTTGTAACAATGTACAGATATACAGAAAAATCTTGGTCCCACATATATTTGCGAGTATATTGATCCAGCCAAAACAATTTGTGCTCCTTATAGTCAAGGTAATTTTGATATCCTTGGCGAAAATGCAGGGAGGCAATTTGTCCCCATGAGCTTATGCTCTTTAATATACAACTACAGCAATAATTCAATTACATCATTTAGAGAGTTGATTGAAATTATGAATAGAGGTAATCAGTTATATTCCGCTTTATCAGCACTATCAAGACAGACTTACTTATTGCTAACTGAACTACCCATAATGGTTACTGTTCAAGATACAGATTACCATCTTGACTTCACTGAAAGTTATACTGGTAACCTTCATGTATCTACTTTGTCTTTAAATGAAAATCTGCCATTTGTTATGCCTTTAGAAACTGCTTTACAAACTTTACTGGAACAAAATTTTCACTCGTTTTTATTAGCAGTCCAATCTAATACAGTATCTATCTTTACTCTTTCAAATGGTTTTCTGAAAATATTTTATTCTCATGCCAGGGATTCCTTTGGTATGGCTCATACCATTCAAGATTTGCTGTTATATTTGAACTTGGAGGCATTAAAATTACAAGTGTGATAGCTGCTCAACAATTACAAAATACCAATGGCAATGAAATTGAGATGTTGGATGTTAGCACATCTGATATAAACACAAGTTTAAATTCTTGCTCCTATGCACCAGTACATGAAAATAATATGAGACCATTCATAGGAGAAACCGTTCCAGATTATCGATGCCAATGTTGTGCAGTTTGTGTATATTCCATTTGTTATTCAACTGTTATGAGGTGTAATTATTGGAGCAATAAGACATTAGAGGCGATTGCAGAGTATGGTGTAGCGTTTTATGATACCGTTGTAAGTAATGGAAATGAATTATCTTGGAATAACTTGCCACAAGTTGTACATATATGTGGTGCAAACATTAATGTAGTATATACCTCTAGACACAAAACAACACTATGTTGCACCTCAGTTTCCACTAAACTAGCCGTTGAAAACTTAATAATGGACAATATATACAAAATACAGGATTATTTATATGTCTATGGAATTATTTTATAGCCTGTGTAATTCAGAATGTGCCCGATAAAAAACAGAAAACAAAATATTCTCTGCTTTCATTCGGCAATGAAACAACACAGGAACTTAACAAATTGGAAAGCGTCACTGTCAGCGATTCCACTTTTACCGTAAATAAACTGTGCAACCTACTCTATAACAAGCTTCAGTGCGAACAAGCAGAATGCATTGTTCAATTCTTGTCATGTTCATCCGAACTAACTAAATCAGAAAAACAAAAGATTATGTGAAAACACAAGCCTATCATGGAAAAAAACAAACAACTTTCTAAGTCAAGGATGCAATATAGAGAAAACTTGAAATGTAAATATCATGATGACGAGTCAGCTCAACAACATGACTTGGATTATTATATCTCCAACGTTTTTGTTAAAATAAAGGAAGGGCCATATTATATATGTTGTGTTTGCAACTGTTTGCTGTGTAGAAAGTCTGTTAGGTGTCTACAAACAGAAAGATACAAAGGTGTAACAGAAACTATGTTTACAGACAAAAATTCATTTGATGGGAAAAAATATATCTGTTTAACCTGTCATACAAAAATTTCAAAAGGTCGAATTTCTTGCCGGGCCATTTATAATAACATGTGTGTTGATGAAATTCCCGCAGAACTTATCGCCCTACAAAAACTTGAACAAATTCTAATTGCTCAGCGAATTCTTTTTGAAAAGATTATAGTTATGCCTAAAGGACAACAAAGAAAAATTACTGGAGCCATTGGTAATGTGGCGGTTAATTGTGATCAGACAAAGTACAGTTTTACCTCAACCACCAGAAAGATCAGGTATAATAATGCTTAAACTAAAACGAAAGCTGGAGTTCAGAAGTCATGTGTACTTCAAAGCTGTTCGTCCCCAAGTTGTTAGAAATGCTTTAGACTGGCTCAAGCAGAATAACCCAGAAGAAAGAGAAATCAAATTGACTCCTGTTAAGTACTTTAATGCCAGACTTTTGCATTACAGTTGAAGATTTGCAACAAATCCAGAATATATTTTTTTTGCACAGTTTGTAATTGAACAAAAGAAAGTATCAGATTGCATTAATATAGCGCTGAAAAAAATCCAAGGTCAACCTGTGACAGCATCACAAATGAGGTCAGATGTAAACAAATTAAAAAGTATGGTCTCTCAAGATCAGGCATATTTATTTTTACGACAAATCCCAGGTACACCACCATACTGGGAAAGATTTATGTATGAAGTGATTGCTATGGTAAAGCAACTTGGTATTCCACCATGGTTTATGACTTTGTCATGTGCTGATCTCAGATGGCCTGAATTGTTTCAAATTGTAGCAAGAACACAGGGTAAAAATATGACTGAAGAACAAGTTAAAGCTCTATCTTACGCTGTGAAAGATGCTCGATGTTAAATGCCAATCCTGTTGTTACAGCAAAACATTTTCAATACAGAGTTGAAATATTTTTACTGAAGTTCTTCTCAGTCCAAATAATCCAATAGGCAAAATGACTTATTATGCACTTCACATTGAATTTTAAATGAGAGGATCTCACATTTACATGCTTTTAAAATGGACATCTGACTGTCCAAAACTTACATCTGAAAACAAAGAAGCTTACATAGAGTTCATTGATAAACATGTGCAACCTAATCCTCCTGATAAACAAGATGAACCAGAGTTGCACGAGCTAGTCAAGATATATAAAAACAAGATATATAAAAAACATACCTATTCAAAAGCATGTAGGAAATACAAAAATGTTCCATGTCGTTTCAATTTCGGGCAATTCTCTACGAAAAGAACAATTGTAGCTCAACCTCTTACTGAGAACGTAGATGAAGACGTCAGATTTGCCATATTAAACAGACAGAAAGAAATTCTCACGTCAGTTAAGACAAAAATAGATGAAGTTTTAAATCCATCCAAGGAAAACTACCATCCAACTTTGACAGATACAGACATTTTGAGTTCAATTGGTATTAGTGAAGAAGATTATTATTGGGCACTATCAATATCAGCTGATTCTGATTTTGACTTGCATCTTAAATGCCCACTAAACAGCTGCTTTATTAACAACTATTTTGTTGCCGGAATCAAAGGTTTTGCTGCCAATGTTGATTTGCAACCTGTGTTTAATCACTACAAGTGTATATAACATATATGTTTGCTCCTACTTTACAAAAGATGAAACAGAATGTTCTCAGGCTATTGCTAATGCAGCAAAAGAAGCAAAAGCCACAAACCTAGATATACAAAACAGCTTGAAAAAAGTTGGTGCTGCTTTTCTCTCTACAAGAGAGGTTAGTTCACAAGAATGTGTGTACAGATGTATGCCAGAACTCTGGTTGCGGAAAATATTTCCAAAAACAATCTTTGTTAGTACAGATTTACCAGACAAAAGAGTCAGTATCACTAAAGCAAAAGATGACCTTGATGAATTGGATGAGGATAGTACTGATATATTTAAATCAAATATAATTGAAAGTTACAGTTTACAACCAAACTCAATTCCTGCTGTTGATAGATTATGTCTAGCGCAATTTGCTTCTTATTACTATAAGGAATATAAAACGGATTCAGACTAAACAAAAGATTCCCAACCACTTGTTCTATATGTTAAATTACTTGAATTAGATCATACAATGCCAAAGGCTGGTAAAGAGCAATCTCTTCCAGATCGAATAATGTTAACAAACAAAGGAACATATGAAACGTAGAAAAACTAGGGCTGTGTTAAGGTACCACACACCAAAGAAAATAAAAGAACCAGAGTTATATTTGCACCATTTGTTAATGTTGTAATTCCCTTGGCCACACGAAACAGACCTTCTTAGTTCTGATCAAACATATGCATCCAAG